CCTTTAGCACTAATCCCCTCCCCCTAATAATAAACCCCCCCACCCCCCTAATAATAAATATTCCCAATATATTATAGTATACCATATTTGGGGAGTATTTATTATTAGGGNNGGGGGGGTTTATTATTAGGGGGGGGATTAAGCCCGAAACTGCGAGGCTGTGGATGTTGTCTTCGTGGACGGCGATCATTTCTTCGAGCCCGTGAAGGCAGACATTCAGGCGCCAGTTCCCGCATCCACATGGGGTATCTCAAACAAGGAAACTTAGGGCCCGCAGGATGCCGATTACTAGGGGGTTCAGGGCTCTGTATAGGTCAGGATTCTACGAGAGAACTCTGAGAAACTCAGAACATTGCTTTTAAGTACTGTTTGGGTTAAAAACTGATGCGCAAGCCCTTTGCAAAGCGGTAAAACATAGATTGCATGGGTTTTTGACGGTTACCTGAATGTGGTACCATTTGTATGGATATTTTGCTTAAAAGCTTAAAACACACGCAGGTTGCCAAAATGTGTGTCCTTTGTGGGTCTCTGGTAAAATACGGCTCGCAATATGTAGGATATCAGGAAAAAGGACCACACAAGTTTGACAACCCCATACATTGGGATCTCAACTCAAGAGTAAACCTCTCAAGAGTAGATCTCCCGATGCCACTACAGCTCTTCAGCTTTTCCACGCCTAGCAAGTCAGTGGATGAAGGAAACCTTGCACTACCTAGCATCCGTAGCAAGTAATTGCTGTGATCCTGGAACCAGCAACGCCCCAATCCACAAAAAACATCCTGCAACTCCCTGGACCGAAAACTCTCCAAAATCGCTTGAATCCCAACCCTCTCTGATGTCAGATGCCAAATCTCCCTCCACCCTTGCAACTGACCCTCAAAGCGAAAATACCCGTAGCAATCCAGTTGAACTGCAACAGCGTTCTAGATTTCGATATGAACAAGTCAACTCAATATCGAAGAGCTGTCTACCAGCACCTCGCCACAAGCCCAGGTGTACGATCAACCTTTAACCCCAAAACCCTAAAACCTGAACCCTAAATGATATTGCAGTGTACATTCTCTTTTCCATTACTATTGTTAATATTATGTAACCCCTGTATGGCCTAAGTCGCCCATGAGACCCTCTCAGCAAAGTCTTTCTCCAGGCTTGGCAACCCTCAACCCTAAATTATGTGATGCAGTAGCTTCGAATTTTCATTCAATGAAGTACTAAGCCCAGGTTCCTCCCTAAACCCTAAGCCCTGAACCCCAAGCTCTTAACCCTAAACCCGAAACTCTAAACACCAAGCCCTAAACTCAAACCCAAAACCCTAACAAGCTCTAAGTCCTAACCCCCTACACCGCGTCTCAGCCGCCAGGCTTGGCAGCCAAAAGTGCCTCCCGGGGGCATCTTGGCAGGTCACGACTTCCGCTTCGGTGCCCCTCGGCTAACAGGTTTTAGGGTTGAGGGAGCTTTAAATTAGGTCATAATTTTAATGAGGGTATACAGGGTTTAATGAGGTTACTATGATGACTGTATATTGGGTTTAGGGTGTAGGGCTTATAATAGGGTTTCTCAGAACTAGGGGCAACGGGGATATATTGGGATAACGTAGAAGAAAATAGAAACAACTATTTAGGGCTTGTATGGAGTTCCCCAAAATTAAGGGTACCCTTTGAGCGGTCCCTGTAATAAGGATTGTAGCATTTTAGGGTTTTATCTGGGGTCCCGGAGGGACGCCACCACGTCTTGCACACGAAAAACAAGCCATCTCCTAATAACCAAGATTCTCAACGTTGTGGTTTGGTTGGGTTTAATGGTTTATTTACAGCATTTGGCGCTCGGACTCAGCAAGTCTAACTTAAGCTGGACGTGTCATCATCTTGGGCACCTCAAGACTATTTGTTTAGAGGTATATAGGGATATATTGGCAATACAGTGTCTAGCCCCTCTAACTATGGACCTCATACAGCCTAAACCTTCAACTGGAGCCATACAATCGAAACCTATGGATGCCTTCTCATGTCAGGTGGGTGGCGCCCGCGAAGCTGTGTTGGAGACGCGGCAGCCTCAGGTGTTTTCACAACACTATACATAGAACCCTGAGGGTCCAAGTGCCCAATGATTGGGTGTTTAAGTTTTTTGTAATAGGAACTACGGTACAGGTTTGGGGGAAGTACAGGATTAGTTGATTCTTAGACTTTGACCCTTAGGGGAAGTACTATACTTGCATGGTCTTTTAAACTTGGTAAGATGCATTTGGGGAGGGCTAGATCTCGAGGTTTAGGGATCCAGCATTGAAGTTTGCGGGCTCCTTCTTGGGCAGGTGTGGTGTATTTTCGGCGGATGCAGAAAGACAAAGTATAGCACTGCTGAGGGGAGTAGATAAGGTGCCTGAGGTCTAGGAAACTAACCACAGGAGCATGATCTTGAAATCTTTCAAGGATTTCAAGACCGCTTGCAAACCTGAAACAAGATCTGTATATAGGAACAAAATGAGGAATCGCAACCTTACCCTGAACTGCAGCGCTGCCTCAGATCCGGCCTAGCCACTTATTCTCTGCTCCATTTTCGGGTTCCGAGGTACTTCAGTATCAAAAAGGGCAGAAATTAGAGTGTAAGGTGTACCTGAGGTTGGGTCATCGCGACATATTCCTCGACTCAGACGCAGTGTGGTGGACGCGCTTCTGAAGCCTCCCATAGAGCATGCAGGGCTTCTCCAGGTGATTAGCCGGTTACTACTAAGGAGTTTAAAGTTAAGTTACCAGTGTGAGGAAAGCTCTTATTTGACATGTATCCATATTGCAGTAGTTCAACTTAAGTTCCTTGATTTCAGTCAGAACAGGATACGTCGCGTATCCCAGGGATGTGCCAAGACAAGCTGGATAGTAGGGTGGCCTTCCAGGGATAATCGAGGCGCCATGTTGACAAACTTCCATGTTCGTTGCTGCAAGAAACAGCACTTCTTCGCATGTATGTCCTGATGTATAGACTTTTGGCGTCGATCCTAGTATAATGCTGAGTGAGGGTGAAGTCATACATCATTCCAGGTGCGCCGGAAGGAGAATCTACTGAGCGTCCATGATACTTCATGTAAGAATGGAAAGGCCTAAGGGTATAAAAATCTCGGCCCCTGTGGGAAGCCGACATGTTCATGTGGCTTGTGGCAGTCCATCGCGCGCACGTGGAAAAGGAGGCCGAACATCTTTGCTTGAGCCCCTCACCCCCACCACACCCTAAGGACAGACGTTTCCCGAACACACATGGTACCATCATGCTAGGCCAAAGGGCTCATGTATGTTCATGTTATTTTCGGCAGACTACGTTGAGATTAGGCTTTCATGAGGTGAGTTTTGTGGGCGTCGGTTTGACGTGGGGGTCCCTGGGATCTACCTTTGCTGACGGTGGTATAGTAAGAATGTCGAGGGACCTGGGTATGATTGTCATCACCCCTTTGGTCACCAGTTGTGCATGAGGGACCACTAAACGTAGAAGTATACACTCTGAGGTTCGAAAGTTGGTAGTAAATATGCAACACACCGCCGGCCATCATAAAGAGCACCCAACTCTTGGGCAGCGCTCGTTAGCATTCCTGCACACCCACTTTTTTCTGGGGTCCCTAAGAGTAGCCTTATCTGAAGATCACCCAAATATTCAAGGCATGAATGCTGGAGGTCTGCCCGTCTATGGCCCCATCACTCCCTTCAAGGTCCGTATTAATTGGTGTGAACTGGAGAATCACAAGTCAGGGGCTCCTGCATAGTTGGTTAGGCATTGTTGTTCACACAAGCTCCGGCGCTTATTCTGCCGCATTTGTGCTGCTGCGAACCATGACTCAAGTTTCAGGTGGCATGGCTAAGCAAACTGGACCAGTCCAACGCCCTACACTATTCAGACCGCAGGCCATCCGCATCTCACATTCTTAATCCTATCGTGCCGCTCTGGCATCGCAAAACAGCCACTTCCAACTTGACATTAGAAGTACTCCAGGGGCCCCAATCATTACAAACAACATCCTGATGTTTATTTGTCGTGCCCTAAAAACTACAAGGAATCTAAAGCCTAAATAGTATTGGTACTTATCCAGGCCCCCGACATCACGTAGGACACATACGGCGAGATTCTGATAGCCGGATTTTGCATCATGCCGGAGGGTTCCCACCGCCACGATGCCCTGTGCTCTCAAAATTTGGGCAACAGCGGCAAGGCTTCAAAGTTGTCTGATACTATAAAGCAATAGGGTATATATAAGGGATTATATAGGGATAATGGAAAATAAACTGGAGACTACTATAGTATAATAGGGTATACATTGGAGTTCTAGTTTCGAGTTTTCTGTGTCTGCTTTGTTGCCTTGAGGTCTTGCGCTTAAGTTTAGTTTGATATTGTCTTGGGCGTTTGGGTTGCAGCATGTCAACAATGGCCTAGGCTCAAGGATTTGCCAGAAAAAGCTTATGCGTTGACATTGCCAAGGATAAGACAGGCAGCGTTGTCCGAAAAGCCTGCCCTGGTAACTTCTGTGGGTGATAGATGAGCTCTAACTCTAGCCTAAACTCCTTAAAGGTGGCTATGAATAAGGGATTATATAGGGGGCTACTACAGGGCTTCTTAAGGGGGATACTAGGCGTTTAGACTATAGCTGAGATTCCAGTCATGCATGTGGGCCGATGCGGCTTCAAGTTAGAAGATTGCAGGCTCAGCATGTAAAGCACCCTAAACCCTAAACCCCTAAGCCCTAAGCCCTAAACCTCGGTAAAGCACAGAGACGTGCTGCAAGTGACAAGGCTCAGGGCCATGATTCGTACGGCTTAGACCCAAGAGCTCAGACCCAACCGCTTGCAATATCTATGTACAGATAGACATAGACATCATGTCCCACAACTCTTGAGGTCATCTGCACATTAAAAGTCAACACTCCATGGGAGGTTCCCATGAAACTTGTTTTTTCATGAGGCCTTCGACAGGGATTCCCATTCGGGAGGCTAAACCCTGAGCCCTAAACTTTCCAAAGAGCTGAGGTTTGGGCTCTCGCAACTTGTCCGAGCTAGTACCGCTAATGATTAGATCCCGGGGTGGCGTGGCCTAATCGTGAAGTACGACTTAAGGTTTCGTGAAGTACGACTGAAGGTTTCGGGTGTTGGGTTTAGGCGGTAGAAAATAGGCTGGAGTGGAGGATTGAGGTTGTACCAAGCTCTTGGAAAGGCATACTTCTCGAAACTCAAGAGATTCGGCTTGAAATTGTGTGCTTTCGTGCTGTAGGTTGAGACGTACTACATGTCCTCTGACATGTAATGCATGATTGTGGTCAGCTCAATTACAGGTCTTTTTTTCGGGGTTTACTAGCAAGGTTGCTGATGTGAGCTACGTACACGTAAGCTAGATCTCAGCAACAAGGAGTGGCGGCATGGGAAGAAAGGTTTCAATTGCCTTGCTCGGAATTGATTCCGCATCGCGGACTTTGCTCAGAGAGTCCTAACTTTGTAAGGTTCTTGCCGGACCTTCTAAAAGCCCATGCTGCATGGAATTCATAGAAAGCCTTGCCGAATCTAACGACCATACAGACATGAGGATCCCAAAATGAGATCGGGGTCTGTGGAATCACCCTTACAGGTCCTCTTATGGTAGGTTACCGAATTTGTTGTCCTGTTTTGGGTCCCCTGTATCGCATGGCCCACAATATATAAGGCACCCCAAAACGGATGCTAATTTTGCCACCTTCCACACAGCAGCAACATGGAGGGTCCTCATATGGGTGTGCTTGGGGGGCGTGCTGCGATGAGGCCACTGTCTTGAGAGGTTCATTCTTCTCGCTGAACTTCCATATGTCACCCAATGTGTAAGATCTCGTGCAGGCAGTGTGTACTAGAGGGTCGAGGGGAGGGTGATAGTAAGTGGAGTGGAGGTGATTAACAAGCAACTTCTTTAATGTCCGGGGTTCCACGCTTGTCGGAGGGAGCGGGGGTTCAGGGGGCTTCTTTGGCGTTTGAGGGTCTTAGCAGGCTGCGCCTTGAGTAGTTGCACAGGGTGTGCAGCAAGTGTCAAAGTCGAGGCGCTTGCTTAGACTTGTATGGTCTTTTTAGGACAGATTCATTATGTGTGTGTGACAGTCACATTAGGGGTTAACCCATAGGGAATTTAACTTGATGCGGCAGTACATAGGGGGAGCCCACAGGGCCCCCTACTTCCCTCACAACCTCAGTCGGGTCTACAGTAGGAAGAGGAATGGATGACAGGCCCCAATCCATTGAATCCCAAACGCTGAAAGCCCCAAGTACCTAAACCCCAGACCCTAAACAGCCCTACACCTCAAATAAGCACTTGATGGATGAAGGCTTCAAGGCCCTCAGCCCCACATGCTGCAAACTTTAGGGTTTCGGCTTTGCTTGGAGTTTCGGGCTTAGCATTTGGACAAAGTTTACCGGCGAGATTTCAAGATCAAGGTTTCAGCTGTGGACCCCAAATGAAAGGCTGTCATTTATAGCCAGGAACGGCAAACAGTCTTGCGCCCTAGGCCACAAGGTCCCGAACCCCAAACCTCCTTGTTGTCGCCGTTACATTAAGGAGTTTAAGCTGAGATACCATAGAGTGGACATACAGTAGAAACAAGGGGGTTCCTGAAAATGGTAGCTGTATTCACATTCCTTAACAGCAGCCCAGTGTTGCAAGGCCCCTGCGTGCGCCAGACAGCACTCTACAAACGCCATGAGAGCGGCAATGCCATGAAGGCGCTGTGTTGATGCTACTATGGGTCAGGGCTCACAGTGGTGTATGGAAGAGATCCACAGCTCAGCATGGCATAGCGCTGGTCCCTATTTCGGCTCCTGCGCATCCCGCAATGAAGATACCCCATTTCTGGAACAGTAATCTCAGCAAAGTCCCACACGGCTTGGGGAATAGCATTCAGGGCCCGGCTTGCATTGTCAGGATGTTGGGTTTAGGGTTTAGAGGGTGTACTGTAGAAAAGTGGGTGCAGAATGCTGCGCCACTCGCTCGGCCTGAGGGATGCCCCTTTGAACGCCGGATGTACTGTAGATGCCTGAAAAATTAAACGGGTTTCCCTAATATAGGAATTATACCGGGGCTATAGTGTGGTACACAGCTTCAGAGGGTCTATATACATATATATATATATTGGGGTCAAATAGCCATACCATTTGGGGAAGTTAAGGAGCTAGGGATAATCTATATCAATATAGTAAGGGGAGCTAAAGAGCCCAAGGATCTCCAAACCCATAGGGGGGAGATTACCAAGGCCGTTCCCTTACCATCCTTCAAAGACTGTTCGTATAAAGCACCCCCAAATCTTTTTTGTTGAAAGATTTAGGCCGCCACATTAACGCACAGTCGGTTGGTTGAATAGTCCAGGTTCAGGGTTCAACGGTACCCTCTCCAAAATCAACACGGAACCCTAATTCAGGTCGCATCAATGTGGTGTCCATGTTGTTTGGGGGAGGGCACAACTCTCAGGACGCGGGTCTCAAAATTTTGGTATTCAGGGCTTGGCTGTCAGTCTTCCTAGCTTTTGACAAGCTGTTTGCTTCATAGCTGGTACCGATTTTGGGGCGGCTTTACACAGGGCATTCTGGTGAAATGGCAAACAGGAAACCTGAGCATATAGCGGATAGTTACAAAATAGAAAGAGCTCGGTATGCCTGTATGCTTGCAGTACTGCATGCCTAGGACGTCGTTGAGGTTTCCTGTTCTGGGTTCTGGGAGAGGCTGGCGAAAGGCCCAACATTTTATCGGTTGGGAGAGGGCTTGCTTTGCAGGAGCTCCGAGACACATTAGTTCCCCTTAAGTAGAAAGAATATGGGATATATGGGGATCTTACTATATTATACCCAAAGCCATATTCTATCTACTTAAGGGGGACTGTAGACTTGCATCATAGCGCTTTTGATGCTTGAGCACCCCTAAGTCTGGCACTGTGGGTTGTGCTAGGGAAGACGTTTACCGAGCGCTGTAAGCCCACCTGCTGCAACATAAGCCTGAACCCCACACCGTCCACTGTGACTATGGAAAGCTCCCCTAGCCCCAAATACAGATTCCCTTACCCCGCGAGACATTAATCACAGCCCAGAATCCCCAAGGCGTGCAGTTCACGAACCCTAAACCCTAAACCCTTAACCTCGCACTCTGCTTTATCTAAATCCTCAACCCTATCCGCCACATCATACACCTTGATCCTGGACTCATTCTACCTCGCCAAGCCGACTTCCCCTAAAGCCATGTCCAGAATCCCGAAGATGTTACATCCCTCAAACCCAAATCCAAGTCACCAAGGTATTGTATTCTCTAGGCCCAAATCCGGAAGTCAAAAAAGTCCTCAATCCACCAACCCCTACTCTTTAAACCCCCAAAGCTTTACAATACATTCCCTTCTTATCCCTCATTCCAAACCCAGAAATCCACGAAGATGGCGTGAAGCCCTGAATTCCTTCCTAGACGACATATCCTTACCTATCCTTCATCCTCCAAACCTCCGAGAATCCCCCAAAGACATGCCCTAAATCCGAAACCCCAAATCCCACATGCCTACCCTAAACCTCCTTAAAACCCTAAACCCCCTAAACCCTTAACACCCTAAACCCTACCTTGTCATAGGACATTCCATTTCTCCTTGGCAACCCTTTGGGATCCCCTTATACTCCTACTATATGTACCTACCGGTTAACCCTAAACCCTAGTCGCTAAACCCTAAACCCTAATCCCCCGAACCAGACTAGGCCTTGCTGGGTGCACCCCACCTCTTCTGGGATCCGGCAGATCACCGAGCCGAGGCTTGGATGGAGGGTTTAGGGATTAGGGTTTCGGGATTAGGGTTTCGGGTCTAGGGTGTAGGCGGAACAGTGAGCGGAGGTTGGGATATTGGAACGTTTCGAAGTAGAGACTTGGAATTCAGGGTTTGAGGTTTGGTATTCCTTATTGACTCTAGGCCGCAAAGTAGGCATTATCTATTGACTTTAGGGCCCCAAGTAGGTATTATGTATTGACTCTAGGGCCTAAAGTAGGTATGATTTGCTGTGTGTGGATCCCAGCCCTAAAACCTAACCCTCACCCAACGTAGGTATTATGGATCTTCGAGGCTAGGGAGTAGGGTTTATGGTTTAGGGTAAGGGAGTAGGGTTTAGGGGTCAGGATTTGACGCTTACGGGGCTTCGGATGGCTTCAGGATAAGGAATTGGGAGTTAGGATTTAGGGTTTGGGTTTTTTCCAAAATACTGCGCTCGTGTTTGGAGAAACTGTCATTTCTCGGCTGTGCATTCAACTTTGTCTAAGGGTGTTGAGAGATAGATTTTGGTCGTGAAGTCCGTAGGAATTAGAGTGGTGGTTGTAGAACAGGATGTCCTTTTGGAGGGACAATAGATACAGATAGTGTGCTACTTGGCCTAGAAACCAAGTCTCGAGATCATGTCCGCAAGCTGTCAATCCCATGAGACGCGAAAACTTTGACGAAGACCCCCAAGGCCTAATACAAAAACCGGATCATGATACGGAAATTTGTTATCTCAGTGCGTTGCAGTATGGATTGTTCAAACCAGCCCCAGTAAGGATACCGAAGTCATGTATATAACTGCACCATCAGCGGCTTGCTTTAGTGCACGGCTGTCGGCCGCGGCATCGCCATGATTGCCCATGCTTCTTGAAACACTTCAGGGTCCAAGTAGGAGGGGAATGAGGCAGATGTAGGTAGGGCTTCGGGCCCCGATGCGATATTGGATTGAGGTTTTAGGGTGAGTATTTACATACCAGAGGCCTACATGTCCATGCACCGGTAAATTTGAAGAGCGCTGAGCTCATATCTTTCCAGGGGAGGTGAAGTCCGACCTACTTACACTGAATCCCGAACGCTACGCACAAGATTCTAAGACGATAGGCTCCCCTGACCTGCCCAAATCCTAAGAATTTGTTGCTCAGCCCTCAGCACCACATCTTTCACAAGTACAAATCACCTGCAGCAGGTTCAAAAGCCAATCGGAGAACGCCGCAGGAGGTGGGAGGAGGAAACAGCACAGAGAGTTTTGCTGAGTAGTGGGTTTAATGCCGTGAAGCATGCATGTGTGTGGGTGTGTGTGCGGCTACCAGTCCCGTAGCACTTATGAACTATCGTTTTCTCCGTTCTGGTGTCACATCATTGTGTCTGCAGACGTTGGCTTTGTGTATCTATCGTCCTTTTCATGGGCATAGACCCCCATATGCCTCTTTGTGGTTCAAACCCTGTCATGTTCTGAAACCTAGGATGCTCAGAATGGTCGTTAAGTCCGTCAAGTGAGGGGAGAGGCGAAATCAATTCACGTCGCTTCTGTAGCACAGCACGAGTATGCTTAGGTTGTCCTTTTATGGGGGTCAATGGTGTCGGTTCTCCGTTGCAGGACATGCCAAACCCAACAAGCAGGCTATAGCATATGTCGCATCATAGACTAATAGGCTCTAGCCCTAAACTGGAATGACTTGCCATCGTAAACTTGGACCCGGATCCCTAAACCTTAGGCCCAAAGACCATTATGAACCCTGCTACAATAGAAGAGGCATGCGGCAGCCCTTCCATTTGCGGAAGAATGCCACAAGATCCGGATACTCGTTGTGAACAAATCCTATAATCCTTTCCATACAGCATTGCAAGAGAGGAGTGCCTCATATTTGGAATCCCTCCCAGTCCTGAACACTTCGCCCTCATGCTTTTTGGATTTGTCTGTTGCATGACCTGAAGGTTCCTTCCTCGCAAAGAAGAAGATAAGCCGCTTTTGGCAAATTTACACTTTCTTGTGGAAGTCTAGGATTCAGGGTGGCTTAGAGGAATGATAGCTGATAGCAGCAGCAGCAGCAGCAATAGCAATAGCAACAGCAATACTCAGTGGTAATGAGGAAGACAAGAGTACTTGTAGCAGTGCTTAGTACTACAGTTGATACTAGAAATCCTGCATAACTTGAGCACATTATAGTACCATACTTCCCGAGGTATAAGAAACCCTGAACCCTAAACCTTTCACTGGCATTATCATTCCCAGGGGCATGCAGGATTTTTAGTATCCGCCGTGGGGATTGGGATGCAAAGGGTGGGATGATGAATGATGCGAGGTTTCCTGCTGAGGATACTTTGCAGGTGAGGTATAGTCTAAACTCCTTAAAGGGGGTTATACAGGGTTTAGAGTCTAAGCTCCTTATGGGTGGTTATACATGGGATAATACAGGGAGCATGATCAGGGTTATAAGGCAGATACTGGGCGTTTAGACTATAGCTCAGGTAGAGGCGCCGTGGTTGAGCTGAGTGCAGGGATTGCATCCCACTTGTTTGTGGCCCAAACACGTTCTTCGCAGGTGCGGCTGCAAGGGGTCATGATGTTTTATCATGGAATTACAGGACGGTTCTCCCTCATGGTAGCAGGGCAGGACTTTGACTAAAAGACGGATGAGCAGCTGTAATTGTGGAAGCCTACATACTCACCCATATTTCGGTGTAGTCTTTGCGCAGCAGGAGTGCATCTACTTGGCCAGATACTTTACCTTTCGTAACAGACGCATGGAATCCTTCCGATTGGCGTGAGAGAATATCGTGCGCGCGGTTTGGTCTAACTTGTTTCCATGGTTTGCACGAAGTTGTGAATCACCCAGCGGGGAAAGAGGGTTGGGGCCTGGAGACAGACTGCATGCCTCTGATTCCGTTTACCTACATGTTCGCCGCCCAAAACTTGGAATCAACAGCCAAGACTACCCTTTCAAGTCGTATTTTGACCCCCAATTCTGGCTCTTAGCTGGAGCTCTGAGACCTTAAATCCTAAACCATGAAGTAGGAAGTTTGAACACTGCACCAGAGCTCTAAGACCTTTGAAAGAGGTGGGAGAAGGTGACATCTTCTGCCGCCGGGAAGGGCGGAGTCATCGAGGTCAAGCAGAAGCAGGAACCATTTAACATAGAAGGTTTGGATAAGTGGGTTTAAGTTGGGGAGGAATGTTAGGATATGAATGCCCGAACTCCGGGTGGAGCTTGCAGTTGGTTTCGCATGATTTGGTAATTTATGCTGGCTTTGCAGTCGGATCTCCATCGACTACCTTACTGCCTATCAGCTGAGACTTGGGCTAGTTTGACGTCAAGCATGAAGTTGTTTGGATCAGGGTTCCACCTGACATTTCTTGATCAGCAGTCCACCAAGGATTGCTGAGTAGAAGTTTAAAGGAGCCGACCCATTTGCAGTCTCATAGAGGTCTATAGGCTTCCCAGTTCAGAGCAGGATGGTTTGAATCATCAGTTCCACTTTGCTGCATATGGCAGACGAGCTGGTTTCCAAAGTTCGTCCCACCATGCGTTGTTAGAAAGTTTCTGAGATAAGTGCTGTGGTTCGCCTCCGCATACGGAATCTGACCAAGAGAGGCTCTCACATGAAAGAAGTAAGCATTAGACAACGCATGTGACAGTTTTGCAATTGGTGCTTGAACCATCCATCTGAGAAAACGTTCGAAGGCATCTACTTCAGTGAACTCAAACTGCCACCTCACAAGATCAGGCCGCTGACCCAGCTCCAAGCCTTCGGCCCCTAATTATAGCTATGGCCAGCCGTTTGGAGCAAACTAGCATTGGACTGCCATGGGATGTGCGGGCTGGGTTTTTGTTGTTGCTGCTGCCGAGCTGGATGCAGGAAGTGGAAATGATGGCTCGGGGGGCCATGAGTCTGACGCCACTTTTTGCTGCATAGATGTGGTATGTCAGAGATCTCCAGTACATCCATGCTCCCTCGTGCGAGCTCTGTTGGTCCTGGTACCCGCTCCAGCCTTGCTCTAGGCCTTGAAGAAATCGGACTTTGCGTGGAAAGTCAGGGAGGGTGGTAGAAACAACACATCCCAGATTTGGATATATGCGGTTCTTACTGGCTATTTCTGGGAAATGGCAGAAAGGATCAGAGATAGAACCCAAGGACATAGTAGCTCGACTGTAGTAAATTTTCCGCTCTTTTATTAGGCCTTTTGGTATCGGCTCCCTCCCTCAAAGAAGTACCTCACCGGGTTGCACATTTGGAATGCTTGCAAGTGCCGCAACGATCCCTTGATTGCGTTCTGGGAAGCGCATAAGACCCTTACATAGCCCCACGAAGTGGTTGACACTATAAATCCTGCAGGATCCCAAGAACAATGCTCCTGGGGAAATTTCCTCCACCCTAAACCCTAAACCCCTAAACCCTAAACCATGCTAAAGTCACATACCAACTGTATGCACCGCATACCTCCATCCTTTGGACAGTGTGAGAGGACCCGGATGAGGCCAAAGGCCTGGAAAGTGTTGGGATGATGCGGATCTGGGGGAGTCTATATGAGCCATAGTCTAAACTCCTTAAAGGGGTTTATATAGGGGATTATATAGGGACTACTCTAGAGGTTCCTAAGGGGGATACTAGGACTTTTGATTATAGCTCATATGAGCTACAGTCTAAACTCCTTAAAGGGGGTTCTACAGGGGAGTATTATAGGGGTTACGAAGGGGGATACTAGGAGTTTTCGACTATGGCTTTTTTTAGTGTATTTGCCTGCATTTTAGGACATGAAGTTGGAATTTTTAGCTTGTCTCTCGCGAGGTGTTGTGCTCTTCTCTTGCAACGAGGAAATCCTATGGTTCTGAATTTGCGGCTTTACTTCTCTATCACATTGCCGAGGGCTCATGTAAGTTTGAAGAGACTGTTTGGATCGTGGTGCGCTCTAAATTTGAGATGTGCTGAAAAGCGTCCAGGACATGGATCAATAGAGTGACCCCCGAAAGGTAGCCATGGGTCAACAGGACAGCATGGCGTATCGAAGCGCACAACGGGCATGAGATGCCATGGCGTATTCTCCGTACGGGAGGCTTGTAGGGAACGGAGGAACGGGTCCTTATGATAGTCTTTGTTTCTAATACGCTTGTATTCCCTGTAGTCCTTCGTTCCCTGCTAGCCAAAAGCAAACCGCCCTGAGATGCCGTTATGGGGTCATGACTTGTTTCGGAGGTGTACCAAGAGTACCTGATGTGGCTTGAACGGATGGCGACATATCCAGTTGCGGTAAAGATCTTAGATTGGAGGTGGGTCCAGTGTTACCAGATCGGCAAAGAACTTGCGGCCTCAGGAGTTTTAGATCTTCTTTGAGTTCGAAGCCCATAGAACACGCAACACAGCCCTTGCTGCCTTGAAAGTTTCTGGACGTGTCAGGCGTTGCTGCCTACGGGCCAAATGCATGTCTTCAGCATGAAATTCCTTAAGCTGCGCTTCACTGTCTGCTAGTCTGGGCTGCTGCTAAGGAACTTGAATTGAGTTACCATAGTAACGTGGGTAAATAGTATACAGTAAATAGTGGGGCCTCCTTATGATAGTAACTTAATTTAACTTCCTCAATAGCAACCCAGAAGTTTGACTCAGTTTGTGAGAAAAGGCGAACACCCTCGCTACAGGTATTATGAGCGAATTGGTAAAAGATGTTCGCGATAAACACTATATAGTGGCAATTTTGGCGAAAATCACAAATCTACTAGCCTGTTTTTTTAAGCTTTCGCAGGTCGTTCACATTTTCGCCCGCAAGTTGCAACATCTCTGAGCAGAACCCTTGGGCACAGCAAGTGATTAGGATCGAATCATTCATTAAACCCTGTGAGCGTCTTCAAATGACGCGCAAACGTCGGGACTCCTCTCAATCAGCCCATCTCCCAACAGATGCTGAAGAGGCCCTTATGCCTTAAAGCCTGTTCGGGGTCTTCCCAGCATGAACTGCCTGTATGACAAACAACGTAAATTGTAAACCTTTCAGCACGTATGCACGGAGCTCAGCCCAACAAATCTGCAACCCATGAACCCTCAAACCCACATCCCGGAAACCCATCCACCCAATCCCTGAACCTTGCAGACCATGCAACCAGCAAGAACAAACTTGTAGCCCGAAAGTCCCAAAGGCCAAATCCTGAAGCTAAAGTCTTATACCATAACAAACCCTGACATCAAAATGAAAACTGCTTTGTTTTTCCTTAGCCGACCTTGCTACTCTTTCATTGTTGTCAACTCAGCAGCCGTGACTAGCAGCAGCATCCGCCAATCTACCCCAACAAACGAACAACGAATATCCGCTAAAATACAGTGTCCACGATGTCCTCATACATGGGGAGGTGCTTGCGATACCGCTTTGGGCCCAGAATTCCGCTGTTCACTGACGCGTAAACGTGGCAAGGACTTCATGCAAAAGATCCTGAGTCTGAACATGAGACCTCGCAAGCCTTCTGAACCGGATTGCAGCTATCAGCAATTTCCAGCGGGCTTTGGTGGGATTCAATAAAACAACCCCGACATTGGATCCTACGCCCTGAATCTGAACTCCCTCAGATCAAGCCTCTGGGCCCGAAGCACTGAAACCCAACCCCAAAGCCATAACCACCATCGCGCCCCAAAATCACAGGCCGACGCCCCGCGCCACAACGCTCGGCTATTGGCGCGGCTGGTGGGAGGACTACCCGCTTACCCCAAGAAGCAAAGCATTAGGGGTACGACGGTGTAGGGACTAGGGTTCAGGGTTTAGGCTACCCAGTGAATTATAAAGGCAGCATATTACGCAAGCCCCAAATGATGGCTCGCATGGAAAATTCCCAACATGGAGTTATTTCGGATTTCGGAATTATCAAAATCTAGCCAGCAAGCGTACGCGACTGTGGGCTACCTGCAATAAGGACTCTGGTAACTAGCATTTTGGGGTCTACATTGGAGTCCGTCTATTAATAGAAACCACCATATGTTTAAGAAGTATCGGGATGGATTGTATGGTGCAGCAATACCTTCGTGAGAGCCGTTGACTCTGGATGACCCAGGATCATTACGAGACCTCCCCTTGAAACTGCTAACTTGAAAATGTTAGGTACTTGAGATGTTTTCTACCATCTCCAACATTACGGAGCGAGTGCTGTGTCAAAAGCCAAGGTGTTCACTTGCTTGAACTAGAGCCAGAGAGCGCTCCACTTCGTTATCATTCCTCTCCATGCCGTTCATGTTTCTCAATGGTCGTCCTGTGTGTTTGCTTTCTTTGCTTTTTGTTTTGCCATCTGCTTCGCAGTTCATCCTGCTCATTCCATTTGAGCTTTTGCAGGCTCTTGCATTAAAGTGATGGTGCTTTGCAGGAATAACAGAGTCGTCACATCAGCTGTACGCATCTTTTACGCATCTTAACGAGAGGCCAGAACTTGGGTTTGTTTCATAGCAGTAGCACGAACCAGGCAGCATTTACACCCAGGCTACATGCTTGCCTTGAAGTCTGAGTACTGGCCAGGATTGTGACCAGGAGTGCCGCGGAAAAGGCGGACCGCGGTGGGGAATCAACTGTTAATTTCGTGTTGAAATACAGAATTGCATATATGGAGAGTGAGGTTTGACAATTTCCATCACAACACGAACCCGAATGATGCACAAGATTTGGCTTCCGAGCAAGACTGGACATTCCAACAGAACTCCAGGATTGCGCGTGAGGTCACGCCAAGACTTTGGTTTTATTCTTAGAGTTTGGGGTTTTGGGGTCTTAGGGCTTCAGGGTCTGGGGCTGAAGGTCTGGCATGCACGCTTTTGGATTTAGCTAGTAGAGTCTAGGGCTGAGGGATGGAGAGTCGAAGACCACCTGCAACCACCTGCAGGTCAATCCAGCATCAACGTGTTTAGATTTTCTTGGGCATATGGAGGATTTTTGCAAAATGCTACAGCCTTCCATGGCTCCACATGGGGGTGGTTGTCTGGTGCTACAAAAGGCCTTTTTCCCAGTCTTCTAAGGAAAAAAAGCGCCGCACCTCATGGTGAGGATAAGAGGTGTTATTTGACAGTGGATACCGGACTGGGATTCTTCAGAGACCGGCTTGTTGGTCGTAAAGCGCAGGGGTAGTTCACACTACTGATGAACCCTTGTAGTGTCTAAAGATGCACACAAATCCAGTCAAGCCTGCCAACATCAAGTAAAAATCCAGTACTCCATACCTGAAGAGCCATCCCAGGGGGATGCTTCACACAGGAAGAGGCGTCACTTTCGAGAGACAGTTGAGTGTCCACTACTTATGTGCACGCAGAATCCTTTACAGCTTCAAACACAAGCTTGTAGCTTTAAGAAGATTCCTGTCAAGATCTTTGGCGATCCCAGCCCCAGACGTGGCGAGTCGTGTGGCATGAGGGTTCTAGCTTATGGCCTGTCCAAACTTCCGACACTTCGGGTCCTACTGGCCGCCTTCCTGCCAAGAAATCATCCCACCTGATAGACTATTCTTATTACTATTCTTATTATTGCTAGTATTATTATGATTAGGGTTATCACTATTTCTACCATTCCCCCCCTCCCTTCCCCAAGAGTCCAGAGGCTCAGACAATTGTTTCGGGGCCTTGATATTCTCTTACAACTGGGTTGCTGTTAAGGAACTTAAATTAAGTTACTATATTGGGGGAACCCTATTATTTACTATATATACCCGTTATGGTAACCCTAAACCCTAAACCCATTATGGTAACTTAATTTAAGTTCCTTAACAGCAACCCAGACAATGCTGTTCCGTCTCCAGGCTCCATTTGTACCCAGCTAGTTGTCCCCGCCAAAGTTTGCGTTTAGTGCTATACAGGGCCTACATAGGGAGAGGGATAATGGAAAAGAAAATGGAAACTACTATAATGGGTTATATAGGGATTATAGGGTATATATTGGGGTTATAAAGGGAGAATGAAAAAAAATGGAAACTACAATTTAGCGTTAGGGTTTGGGGTGCCCAGGCTCTCAGCTTGGCAACGGCTCTGACCGTCCCGCCTTGTACCCTTCGGTGGATATTAAAAATCCTGCATGACTCTGGGTACCTTATACCGTGGGAAGTATAGTACTACAGTACAGTACAGTACAGTGAGGTCATGCAGGATTTTAGTACCAACAGTTCTACCTTCAAGGTCTTTGCAAGATGGAGTCGGAATAATCAGCTGTCAATACCCTGGATCTCTATTGACAGCTTCAGGGAACATGCTGTACGAATAGGTCCTGACTTCTACAGCCTGAGCAGCTGGATCAATGGGGAACCGGCCAAAAACGGAGCCGGCAGTCTAGGCACCAGCGAAAGCTACTCCAGGCATTGGGCCTTGATAGGATTACTACAAGGATGTGTTTAGCTTTTCCATTCTGGTTTGGAAGGGTCCGTCAGTGTTCAACACCCAAATCGCTAACCCTAAACCCCAGAATCCTAAATCCTTAAACCCCAGATGCTTCTCCAGGCAAACCTAAACCTGAGGAGCCTAAACCCCAACCCTAGAACCCTATAGTTCCCCTTAAGTAGATAGTATATGGGGATCTTATAATAACATACCCAAAGCCATATTCTATCTACTTAAGCGGGACTATCAACCCCCTAAGCCCTAATCTCCTCGGAACCTGCGCATGAAGGCGGCTATCGCCCGGCATGGTTCTGGATCAGTGGCAGAATGCTTGACAATGCAGGTCTGCAACCCCACAGCCTAGACCCTAAACCCTAAACCCCCAAAAAGAAACCCTTAACCCTAAATCCTCCGCACAGTTTAGGGCTTAGGGTTTAGGGGAACCCTAAACCCCCAAAACAAACCCTAAACCCTCTTCCCTCTGCAAGGGATGGGTGGGGGTTCTGGGATCTCAAGGTTGAGGGGCTTGCTGTCTGGAGGGCCCATACGAGGAGCCCATCGTTTCAATCTTAGATGTCAGCTGTAGTCTAAAGTCCTCGAAGGAGGGTATTTTTAGGGGATTATATATGGGAGTTTGATAAGGGAAGGGGGTATACTAGGAGTTTAGACTATAGAGGCTAGTGGCAGAAATTCAGGCTGATTTTGCAACATCTTAGGTTGCTGGAAAGGAGGGAGACTCGGGGTTGCACAGTCTACCCTGGTAACTCCCCACCTCTGGGTGCCCTTGATTAGATTGCAGGGGGTTTCGGCTTGAGTATTTATAGGTACTTACAGTCAAAGGTTGAAGATTATATAGTAGTAGTTTCCGTTTTCTCTTCCATTATCCCAATCATAATACCCAGGGTTTCCCTTTTCTTTTCCATTATCCCAATATAATGGGGCAGGTCCATAGCTCATACCTGAGTCTCACAGAGAAAACGCGGTTGTTTAGGCCTATAATGCCTCTGTGAGTCATAAACCCCACACACTAAACCGTCAAAGCTAGCTTCGAAGCTGCTCTAGGGTAGGGATATAAGGGGTGGCTGATTTGAGAGGTTCCAAGAAGTGAAGGACTCCGCACAGGCGTGCCTAACACAATCCAAAACTCAGGATTCTCTGCTCTAAGCACCAGCAATACAAAGCATCCCTGAACTTCGGAGGCTGCCTTTTGGCCCTTGTTTAGGTGGATCTCGTGCCTGCTAGCTCACCGGGCCTTCCTCAACCATTTCTGAATCTAGCCACTTGAACATTGTCTTTGCAGCTCTACATCTTGTCCTTGTCCGGTACGATGACGTTTCGGGTTGTAGCATGAGTTGAGGTAGCGCGTGTAAACCAAAGCCCCAAAACTTACTGGTTCTTAGTAGGGAATCTGGGAATATATGATGGGAGATTTTTAGGGATTATTCCCTTCTACTCACGAAGAGCCAGTGAGTAAATCCTAAAACTCCGGAAAACTCTGACCCCTAAAGTTCATACCTCAGACGCTGACCCAAAATCCTTTGAATCCTGAACCAGCCGCATGTAGGACTTGCAATTCCCGTGAGCGCTGCGCCATTCCATTTGCCAGGAACGTATCAAAATCAGGCCTCCCTTTGAGAAGATGGCATCCGGTCTAACCTAAGCCCCTACACCCAGAGCCCAAACTCTAAACCCAGAGCCTGAGGTCCGAAAACAAAAAAGCGTTTGACTGTGGAGCGTTAGGCTTAAGGCGCAGGCAAGCCTTTCAAGCATAACCTTGGAGCTCTAGCACAAACTGAATAGGAATGTATTGAATCTCTATAGAAGAAACTGACAGTAGCTGCCAGTCTTTTGCAGTAGAGGTGATTTAAATTGCTTGCGTAAATCTACTATTAGGATGGGTTCCCCAGAAAATTTCTTTAAATGTAGTCCCTGTGCCCCATACAAAAAGCCACCTAATTGCCGCTAGTCTTTGGAGCCTCATTCTATCCAAAAAAATCTTAGAATATGGCCGCTTGTCTAAAATCAAGTGCTCGGATTGCTATAGGAGTTTTTGAGGGGGGTTCTAGGAGTTTAGACTATGGCTCACATATTTGTCCAAGACCTGCATTGCAATTGATCATTAGTTTTTCACCCAAATCCTGAGTACCTAAATTATGAGGACCCTTCCCTTATGGAACGCCTGCACAAGGGGGGGAGGCCGATTTTGAGACGTTGCCACGGCTTGTCGCGCTGCACTAATTTGCACTGCCAGCCCAGGGTTCATACTTCCTTTGTGCCTTTTCTTCAGGACATAAAAGTTTCAAGAATACTTATCTACTTGTATCTAGACATATACAGATTTGGTCGAGTTCGAGACTACATAGATTTCTGCTGGAGAGCTTCTCAATATCACGTGAGCTAGAGTCTAAATTCCTTAAAGGGGATGATATAGGAGATGATATTGGGGACAATTGTAGGGCTTATTAAGGGGGATACTAGGAGTTTAGACCCTAAAACCTAAACCCTAGGGGGTATTTATGGGGATACTAGCAGTTCAGATTATAGCTCATGTGTCCTCATTAGAGGTTCTGCAATTGAGGACTGCATTGGCTTCGTTTCAGGTGAAGAGCCTCGACCCTTCTGAAGCAGGTCCCCTCTTAGGGTTTAGGGTTTAGGGTTTGGGGTTTAGGGTTTGGGGTTTAGAGTTTAGGGTTTAGGTTTTAGAGTTTAGGGTTTAGGGGATTTCCTGTAGCTTCTTTCTTGCATTGCAAGCTCCCACACGCCATTCCCAACATCAGGCCCCAAGTCTTAAACCTCAAGCCTTCGACGCTGACTCCCAAGTCCTACCTTCTTGGTGGTCCCATAAAAAGGATCATGGTACACTTGGATCTATATTGAGGTCCCTTTTTGAGGGGAAGCTACCAAATCCTGCAACCCTTTCTCTCTATATACAAGTGGCCTTTGACCTCTTACACTTTGTTTTGACTCACCTGTTCAGAGGGATGCATTGCGCACCTCATGTAGCTTAGCAAAAGAATTGAGGTACATTAAAAGCAGCTTCAGTTGGACAGTAGTACCTGTAGTTTCTTTTGGGTTGCATGCTTGTTTGGGGAGTGTAGGTTCCTCTGTCCATTCTGATGGCACGGGCTGGGACGGAGAATTTTCTATCTGTAGGGTCGTGAGCTGCCTCAGGTGGGTTCCCAGGCTTTAGCTTCAAGTCCGAGGTTTAGGGCTTAGGGTTTAGACACGGTTTAGGGTTTAGGGCTTGCGAAAATTTGTGGGGTATTTTCTTGGGGTCCCAATGATAAGGATTATGGTATTTTGGGGCGGGGCTTGGGGTTAAGTTAAGAGAAGTTCCGGATACCCCAAATCAGCTTGACCGGCACGTGAGGCATGTGTTCAAGTTTAGTAGGCGGCTCAAGCGGCATGGCTTCGGAAAGGTGGTGGATAGTAGCGGCTTTACTCCTGGGGCATTGCCTGACATTACTAGACAAATATGCCTTCTTGAGCCATGCATCCTGAGCCCGAAGACCTCCAAACAAGTGCGTACATATCAAAACAGGCACCCAGAGTACCAGTATCACGTTTACAAGGATCTCCTAAGCGGTCGGCACTTCCCCTAGAAGGTTCCATATAGGCGGATTGCCATCGCGACCCGAGTGTTCAGAAGCAGTGAATCGCGATTAAGGGGTGCAGCTTAAGGCCTGGGCCCATCATTGAGGAAGTAGACCGCGTGCGACCGAATTCAAGCAACAAATCGATGCGTCGAAAAACAACCAAGTTCATGCATGGGCATCCGGAAGTACTGGGGGAGGCGGGTCCTGTACAACTGCCAATCACGCATTTGGGAGGCTTCTAAAGCAGGGTAGCTCCAGGCAGACAGGGACCAGACTGTGGGTTTTAGGCTACTTTGTGGAACTTAAGGCCGAACTAGGAGACAAGGGGAAGGGCTTGGTGTTACAGATTGGGCTTGGTTTCCCAATACAGGGTATTTTCTGGAGCTTGGGGATAGATCAAGATTGTCAAGAGGATCTTTTGGGACATGCCCACGTGATGCATCACATGCCAAGAGCCGCGTTGTTTGTAGTTCTATACTTCGGCACACGTGCAGAAATCGATGGTAATTCGACCCCGACCTGCGTGCCTCATGTAGACAGAGGGTCCGACCGGACAGGCCAGAATCATCTTTCCACCCATACCGCGTGGAATGGATAAGCCAGGAAAATCCAACCACCCTAAACCCTCATGTCAAACCAGAGGAACCCAAACCAGGAATAACACTCCCATTTCTCATCCCCGCAAATGTGTGGAAGCCCGAAAAGTTATCGTTATGTTCCATATTACCTGTACATAGCCACATAGTAACGTACCCCACAACAAAGTGGGTTGTTGTTGTAACGAACTTCAACTAAGTTTCTGTAAAAACGACCCCCTATTATTCATCATATACCCAAATGGCGGGCACCTAGCTTGGAAACCCGAAGATGGGACTTCTGGGCGCAGGCTGAAACCACCCAGGCAAGCCTGTAAGATTTCACCCCAGATGAGCTATAGTCTAAACTGCTTAAACGGGGATTGTATAGGAGATTATATAGGGGAGTATTATACAGGTGATTAAGGGAGATACTCTGAGTTCAGACTTTAGCGCGGGCTGAGATGAAGTGAAAGCTGGTGCGGAGACGTTGGGATAGCCCAGTGTAAAGTGGTGCCTGCTGCAGCCGTTCTGTTGTCTGTCTGATCTTGTCCAAGTCCGCAAATCCAAGGAAGTCTGTAGTCAAACCCCAGATTGAGCTGCTGTTAGGAACTTAACTTAAGTAACCATGACATGAACAGACAGTAAACGGATATGGCTTACTGGTCGTGTAACTTAATGCAACTTAGCCCTTAACCCCTATCCAACTCCTATATAACCCCTTCAAAAGGACCCAGAAGATTTAATCAATGTAAGCTCCGTAGCAACAAACCCTCAACTTCAAACCCTGAACACTGAACCCTAAACCCTTAACATCCTAAACCCTAACCCTAAAACCTGCCATGGCGCCTCTTCGCCTCCGCCTGATCTCGTTTCTAGCTGCCCTGGGCTTCGCTGCCCGGGAGGCAGCCCATGAGGTTTCCTGGCCAAAGTGATAGGTTCAGGGTTTAGTGTTCAGAGTTTCAGGGTTTAGGAGTTAGGGTTTAGGTTTCAGGGTTCGGGGGTTCAGGGTTTAGGGTTCAGGGTTTAGGGTTCAGGGTTGAGGGTTCAGGGTTTGGGGGTTTGGGTTTAGGAGTCAGGGTTTCTGGAATTTCTGGAGTTGGGTCCCAGGGTTTGGGTTCGGGGTTTGTGTGTAAAGCCCTAGTGTAAAGGTAAGCTGCCGGGTTTAGGGT